GGGGATCTTGAAGAGGTCCAATAGGAGTAATGATTCCCTTGGCATGGAGTCGATCGAAAGCATCATCGTAGCTAATTCCAATATGGGTAAAATACCTTTTTTGTTACTTTCTAAATCCTCGATTATCTATGGCTAAGATCTCATTAAGGTCGAAAGTACCAATACTGTTACTAGAGTAGGTGTTTTCGGAAGAAGAAGGATAGTCGTTCTTCTTCCCTTTACAGCCACTGTTACTATCATTACTAATCTTGGCCTTCTTGTCGCACAGAGGAACATTAAGGAGATTTGAATCAATGAAGTCTTGAACACTATCCTTGAGGGCGAGAAACTTTTCGGTAGTGTGACCGCGACCTCTATGGTATCGACAATAGGAATTTGGATCCCAATTGGGAAAGAGTTTTTCAGATGGAGGGTCTTGACTGGGACGAATGGGGTGAATATGCCCTTGATCATGAAGACAGTCAAAAGCTTCATTGTAAGTCATTCCTATTGGTGTGTACTCTTCAGTGGTTCGTTTTTCCCATGGCTTAGGAGAATCGAGTTCTTCATTGAACCCTTGGCGAGAATTTTGTTCGATGATCATCACCCAATTTTCTAGTCCTTCTACCACATTCAAGAGCATGGCAATTACATCTTGCAGTTTTCGAGCGTCCTCTTTCAGATTTGACGAGTCTTCCCTGGTATTATCTAAGAAAAGACTTTTATCCTCCTCAATCATGGCCACTTCATTGAGGGAGGTTATATAAGCTGTCTCGATCATGGGCTCTCCTACAGGTGTGATCAGAAGTGATGGATCGAAGGATGTTTGATCTTCTTCGATGGCTAGAATTTCGGAGGTTTCACTGTTATCGATCAGATCTTAAAAAAGCTTCTTTGAGTTTCCAACACTCCTTAGTGTCGTGACCTTTCCTTGGTGATATTTACAGTGCTTATTAGGGTCCCACTTGGGTGGCCTGGCTTCTGGAACTGGATCTTTGATAGGCCTTATGGGCATGACTAGTCCTTTATGGTGTAGCTTCTCGAAAGCTGTTTCATAACTCATACCAAGTGGAGTGGACACCCTTTTTGACCTTTGGATTCGTGAGTTAGAGGTGTTCGTGGCATGTACCTCATTAATGGGAGAGGAAGAAGAAGGATGGTCGTTCTTCTTTGCTCTCGCACTATTGTCCTTCAGAAGGTCATCTTCAATGTCAATGCCTATATTATACACAGCCTTGAAAGTATTCAAGTTGTGTTGGTATTTTAAGTGCTTTGAATACTTCCCTTGGAGATTATTGATAAACATCCTCACATATTCCTTTTCAGTGGGAGTTTTGACCATATTAGCAGAAGTTTCCCTCCATTTGTTGGAGAAAGAAGTGAACCCTTCGTTTTCTTTTTGTTTTAACATCTCAAGTTGTATGTGGTCTGTTTCGTCTTGGATGTTGCACTTATATCTGTCTATGAAAGCGTTTTCTATGGACTCCCAGGTGGAGGTTATTTCTTTCTCGAGAGAAAGAACCATTGCTGGCAAACGGTCTCAAGAGATAGTGAGAATAGAGAGGAGAAAACCTTCTTCTCGATACCCTTAATGTTCATTATAGTTTCAAAGGCTCTTAGATGAAAGTAAGGGTTATCTGTTGTTTTGAATTTAGGGATGTCAGTGGCGTTGAACTTATGCGGAAGAAATTCCTTGTCCAGCGAGACCCCTTGTGAACTCATGCCCTGAAATTTATAGTCATTAGATAGCTTTCTCAAACTTTCTTGCATGAGGTTCATTTGTTGTTGCTTCACAGGGTCATCAATTTTGAGGGTTAAAGCCTTTAACACCTCAGTCACGTCATTCAATTGATTCCTAAGTTCATTGACCTCTTCTTGACTTGCTATTATCTTTTTAGCCTTCCTCTTTTGACAAATCGGTTTATCAAAAAGCGAGACCTGAACAAAGGTGTTATCCTTGATTAATCGCCCTTCTCTCCTCGACCATGTACTGTGGAAAACGAATTTGGGGATATTCATTGTTAATTATTTGACTCAAACTTTATTCAACATGCAATGGATGGAGGAAGTGAAGAAAGATTGGAATAGAATGTGAAGAAAAATGATGTAGATGGAGGGATATGAAGAATTAGGAATATAATGTACCCCCAACTCAAATGACGGAAAAGACCGACTCATGCATGAACCTAAGACATGGTCAAGGTGACATATACACAAAGCGTGTGCTAAGACTAGTGAGTGTAGGTGGTACGTTAAGACTCGTGTTATGACCATGTGGCTAGACTATGTGACTTAGTGTCTAGATTTAATTAATGACTTAACAAGGTATGATTGACAGTAAAAATTAACCGAATTATTTAGCAAACTGGTTAATTAGACACTAGGTGATGACTCAATCAATAATCCGAACTGTCATCAAAACGACAGGACTGGCGTCGCACTGTGTAGTGTAGCACCAGACGACAGAGCTGTATTGTCACCAGGCGCCACACTCCACAGAGTGGCGCTACAGCTCATATTTTGGCGCCAATGCTGGAACTTCAATCTGAGACTGTTTTCGGTGTTATTAATCAACAAGGGTATGCCTAAAGTCGTACTAGGTCAACTCTGAAAAAAAAAATTAGATTTTATTTACTCAAATAAATTAATCAATTAATTAATTAGGCAAAGTTTTTTTTAAGTCATTAATTTATTAAATCACAACACACGTCAAACAAACAGTTAGGAAAAACACATAGAGTATGCACAACAAATAATGCACAATTAGGCAAGTAGGCACAATATGATACAATGAGTTTGCAACCTAACCATGGCTCTAGTTCTCTAAAGTTCGGGATATGGTTTAGTCAATAGAGGGTGCATGATTAATTGTCCAGATGCACCGCGCGGAAGCCTAACCATGAAGGGTTGGCGCGAGTGGATGGGACACCGCGAGTTTTAGAAAAACTTGCTTCCATGGTTTGGTGAATTCAACATTCTCGGATGGACCCTTTGTTGCTCAGAGCGTTCAATCAGGTAGATGGAGCATGAATTCCCGGAGGGTTATGTCCATATGTAGAACACATATGGGTTTCAGAAAAGTGAGAAAAACTCAATCAGGAAGTAGGATCGAGCAAACAATGCGAAAAACTGGTCGAAATTAGAACGCATATTTCTGGCTCGGTATTGGAAGAATTTGGCGCCAGCAAACAAAGGTTGGCGCCAGGATTTAGTTGTAGCGCCTGGCGACATGGCTGTCGTCTGGCGCTACGGTTAAATGTCTGGCGCCAGCTTCTGTTCGCTGACGCTAATTCCTACATACCTCAACAGCTTTCTGTGCTCGATAAAATTTTCCAGTTTCGCGCAGTGTTATTTCGGTCCTAGTTGTAAAAGATATTTCTCAAATTTCCTAAGTGTAAAATCCTATGTTTTAACTCATTACGGATGGTCTTTCCAATGAATATGTTTTATGCATATGACAATAATGTTAATCAAAATTACGCACATGAAATACTTAGAACGTTTCGAGTCTCATCCACTCATTCTAAATCATTGCCGAAAAAAATTCAGGAATTAAAATAGAAATCCTCCCTAGTGGAGTCGCCAAACAACTGTAAAGAATATTTCAAGCGTTAATCCCCTAGCTTGAACCCCACTGTGATCATACACTAAAGTACGGTGGTGTCCAAAGGGAAAGAAGATAGAGCAAAAGAGTCGCCAACAAGTTTTTTTTAAGGAACTTGTAAATTGTTCACGAGGTGAACATTACACTCCTTAACGATCCAAGAGATCGTCAACTCCATAAGGTCTTGAACCAAATAGGATTCGGGGATGAAGGTACAAATCCAACTTAAAAGAGGTTGAACCTGCCCTAATAATAGGCATCTACTTTATTCAGATCGTATTCATGTGCTCTTTCTAACTAACATACAAGCAATAGGATTAACCCTAAACCTGTTTATCTATGTTGGTTGAATTTAATGCACAAACAAAACTATTATTGACAATCACTTGAATTATAATCAAATTAACCCTAAACAAGATTATTAATTATCTTATTAAGCGTGATTACAAGTACAAATTCCCTTTAAACATGCATAAAAGCGTGATCAAGCAATAAAAATAAATATCAAGCAAAATAATAATAATCATCATAAATAAAAATCATAATCATAATCATCATAATAATAATAATAAAAAAATTTATAAAAATAATCATAATAACGCTAAAGCATAATAATAGCAAGATCCTAGGCATGATACTAACAAGATTAATAACAAACCCTAGCATGTCATTAAGTAATAAAAATCAAAACTTTAACCCTAACATGATACTATTATGAATATTAGGAAGAGAATAAAAGGCATCGCAGGAATCATAATTAATTTAAGGAACTTATTCTTTACCCTAAACACGATACTAGGAATATCATAATAACATCATAATATCAATAAAAACCATCAAAATATTTACTTTGATGCCTTGTCCTCTTTCTAATAACAAAATACACACGTTAGTAACTTCAAGGAAAATAATAAAAAAACAATTAAATTAAATGATTGAAATAGAGATTTGGGACCAAACCCTCAGAAATTAAACCTTTCACGTCTAGGGCGAAGGCAACTTCGAATGTGTTAGGTATATCTAGGTCTAATGAATGCGGAATTTTGTATTTGAGAAAAGGCTAGTTTAGAAAAAAAAAAAAGAGAAAGTAATCAAGAAAAACTTGATGAGAGTTGGTGAGAGACAGAATTAGTGATAGTAGGTGATTAAAAACGGAGTTTTTACGATGTTATCACTACTACAAAAATGGGCAAAAAGACCCGTTAAAATATGCATAAGAGACCTCATTTGGACGGGTCTCTATCTCAGGGGTCTCTTTGATAGAGAGACCCTTCTAATGGGAGGGTCTGTTTAGTAGAACAACAAGACCTGTTGTTAGAGATAAGGGATTTGTTAGGTAAGGTATGGAATTGATATTTTAGAAGGTAAACAGACCCGTCATCTAAGATAGGGGGTCTCTTTGGTGGTATCAGTGAAACCTGTTACGTTAGATAATGGGTCTCTTTGTTGTATTTTTGAAAATTAAAAAAAATAAATTACATTTCATACGTACAATTCGCATTTGAAATTTGTATTTTTATGTTGAATTCAAATTGGCGGAATAACATTGGACTAAATAGAATTCATGATATACAATCAAAATCAACATAAATTAGATTGAATCATAATAATAAAAATAAAATTATTTAACTTCACTAAAAATTACAAATATAGTTGCATCAATATGGAGCTTGAGTACTATTTCCAAGTGAGATTTCTGTTTAGCATATGCACATCTGACAAACAAAAAAGAAAGAAAAAAAGAATCAATATCATTGAAAATAAACCCAATAATTAATGAATAAAATAAGTGATGCACAATTAATTAAACACTACAACCAGGCAGGCCGCAGCCCACAATTATATATGTAAATGATATACGAAGTATATGGAAATGGAAAAGGTGTGACCTCTGCTTAATCAATCACCCAACCATGATTCGGGGCACCTGCAAACCATAGTACGAATCCACCGCTTCCGCAAGCTTAGACCACCAGCGTAGCCTTGCCTCCTTAACAATTATATCAACCAAATTTTCACGCTATTAAAAGGAATTGTACAATAAATATGAGGATAATTTGACAAAAAAGCAGATTAAAATGCATAATCACTTACTCCCTTCATTCATCAAATTTTAGGGCCATTAGTTTTTCCCGTCTTATTGAAACTTCCTGTGTCAAATAATTAAACCAAATGAAGTTAAAAAAAAATAACAAATAAACGGATAGTTATTAGCGAAAAAAAAAATTAAATGTTTAATTAATTCAGCAAATTTTTTTTATATAAAAAAAAATGAAACCCTAGATCTAATCCATCCAAATTACTCTTCACAATTCAGAAGCTAATCTAATATCTAACTCAAAACAACAAAATCGCAATTAACAACAAATTAGATATGAATTCAGTTTACAAATTAGCAATTGACCAAAAAAAAAACTTAACCTTTGAATAATTGAAGAAGAAAATCGAACTATGCCGTAAAAAGAAAAAGAAAAATCGAACTATAGCCGTTGTTGCTGTGTGGTCAACCGAATCCCGCCTTAAGTGGTGGTGAAACACTTGTAAATCAGATCTTGATTTATTTGGTGAATGATATCTAAAGTACTTCAATTCTTTGGCGACTTGATGAAGTAGATTGTAATAATTTTAGGTGATAAAAATAGAAAAAAGAGATGATTCCAATGTGGGTTTTAGACAGAGAGAAGGAGCAAAGGAAATAAAACCTTCAACAAGTAAAACGACAGGCCTTTTGCATCTCACTCTCTTTTTCCCACCACAGTAGTGGACCCTAGTACATTTAAGAGACCCGTTTAATTTACCAACGGGTCTCTTATCTATTAGACTTATTTTCTTCTACACATAAGAGACCCGTTACCTCTAATATTAGATCTTTTACATCAAGCATACCTATTATTGAGATAACGGGTCTTTTATTAGGGGTCACTTTTCTAGATTTTGTAGTAGTGTTATTTATAAAGAAAATCAGCCAAAAGATAAAATATCAAAAACAGAGTTCTGATGCAAATAAAATTGGATTAGCGCGAACGCTGGCTATTGGCGCCAGGCGCTACAGCTAGCGTGTGGCGCTGATTTAGATATTCACTCGTTTTCTTAAAATAAGATAAAAATTGTCGTACAGGAGGATAAAATCGTATTTCCCTCAAAAAAATGTTCTTTGATTTTAATTAAAACTCTGAAAAGTAAACAAAAGTCAATTTATCAATGCTAATTGAATTAGGAATGAAAAGAATCTTCTAGAAGAACCTTCTAGAACAAAAATCAAAGAACATTTTTTGAGGGAAATACGATTTTATCCTCCTGTACGACAATTTTTATCTGATTTTAAGAAAACGCGTGAATATCTAAATCAGCGTCAAACGCCAGCTGTAGCGTCTGGCGCTAATGTTGGCGTCTGGCGCCAATAGCTAGCGTTCGCGCTAATCCAATTTTATTTGCATCAGAACTCTGTTTTTGATATTTTATCTTTTGGCTGATTTTCTTTATAAATAACACTACTACAAAATCTAGAAAAGTGACCCCTAATAAAAGACTCGTTATCTCAATAATAGGTATGCTTGATGTAAAAGATCTAATATTAGAGGTAACGGGTCTCTTATGTGTAGAAGAAAATAAGTCTAATAGATAAGAGACCCGTTGGTAAATTAAACGGGTCTCTTAAATGTACTAGGGTCCACTACTGTGGTGGGAAAAAGAGAGTGAGATGCAAAAGGCCTGTCGTTTTACTTGTTGAAGGTTTTATTTCCTTTGCTCCTTCTCTCTGTCTAAAACCCACATTGGAATCATCTCTTTTTTCTATTTTTATCACCTAAAATTATTACAATCTACTTCATCAAGTCGCCAAAGAATTGAAGTACTTTAGATATCATTCACCAAATAAATCAAGATCTGATTTACAAGTGTTTCACCACCACTTAAGGCGGGATTCGGTTGACCACACAACAACAACGGCTATAGTTCGATTTTTCTTTTTCATTCCTAATTGCACTAGGAATGATAAATCATATTAGACCCTCCCCTAGATCATTGGGCCGCATATAAGGTATAAACCGGGCCCAATTTGGTAAATTGGCCATAACTTCCTCAATATTCACCGGAATTGGGCTTATAATATATCGTTGGAAAGTTGTTGTCAAGCCCCATCCAACTACACTACTATTGGACCCATATCATGGACCAACCAAACTAGATTGGATGTTTTTTCTTAAAATAAGTTTTAAAAATAGAGAGAAGAGAAAAGAAATTAAAACTAACCACAACACTAAACTTTCCACACTTTCACTTCATTCGATTATGATTCAACGTGAAAGGTACTCATCACCGGGTTTGGTTTTGGGGAGACACAAATGGGTGTATACAGGAACGAAAATAAAATCTGACTGTCTTTGAACATCTTTAAATTCAAATAGAATTAGGATTTAAGAAAAAGGAAAGTTTTAAAAAAAGAAAAGTTTTTATTTAACTCAAATTCTTTAATCTTATCTTTTCAAAAAGGATAATTAAGATCTTTTAGAAACTTATAGAAGCTTATAATTAATCCTAATTAGTTTTAGAAATAGTATTAGACCTTTGGACCCTCCACATGATCATTGGGCCGTAGGTAAGATCCGGTTCGAGCCCAGTTTAGTATTTTGGCCATAACCTCCTCATTATTCATCTAAATTGGGCTTATTATATATCGTTGGAAACGTCTTTTCAATCCCTATCCAACTATACCATTGTTGGACCCATATCATAGACCAAACTAAATTGGAATGCACATTTTTCATAAATAAGGTAAGAAAAGAAATATTTTCAAAAATAGAAAGAAGAGATATTTTAATAAAAACATCCTCATCACTAGACTTTTCACACTTTCGCCTTGTTCGATAATCAAATGACATGAAAGGTATTCATCACTAGGTTTGGTTTTGGGGAGAAACATTTGGATGTCTACAACCGCGTAATTGAAATCCTATCAGGAGGAGCCGTCAGATTAATGGATATTGGAGGAGATGAAATTCGCCAATTAATAAACATTGATTGCCTTAAGAAATATTACATATGAAATCCGGATGAACCTCGTTCACTCATACAACCATTTTTAATAAGCATTCAATTAAAAGATTCTAAGTATTATGCATTTTACCGAATAACACGGTAAAATACATAACACTTGGGAGGGGGTAATTTAGAAATAATAAACCGTTCTAAGTGTTCAAATTTTATTGAACATAACGAAAAAATCTTCACACTTGGGGGGGGGGGGGTAATAATACGATTTTTTTAAAAAAAAATTTCGAGACATTCTAGCAAAGGTGTCGCGCGCAACTGGGATAGTTGCGCGCGGCAGGCTCGCGCAACTACAGACGTTGCCTGCGCCACCTGATGACGAACTACGAACCCGAATTTTTGCGTTTGAATGAAGTTGCGATTTCTGCTTAAGGTAAAAAGAGGGTGTTTCTTAAATATAACATATACTCGGAAAATAAAATTATACTTTGATTTAATTCTTTTAAACAAGGTTTGATTAATTTTTTTCATTTAATTTCTATCTAAGAGATTAAAGAAAAAAAAAATACATAATAAAAAAAAAAAATTAGAACTACGCAAAGACCTGATTTCGTAATGCGAATACGTAGGCAATCTCTATGATTCGGTCGTATCAAAATATAAAAATATAAAGCTTATTTTATTTCATTCAAAATTCAAAAGACAGACATTATTGAACTAGATAGTAAACGAAAAAAAAATAGTAGTGATTACACTTTATTAAAAAAAAAATAATAAAAAAAAAATAAAATAAAATTGTGTAACACTCTAAGGTTTTACTATGTCCTCGATTGTCATAGGGGATGGAGGAGTAGTTTCCATCACAACATTTTCAGAAACCTTGGAGCTTTCCCTTACACTCTTCTTCTTCACCTAAACATTGTTTTTCAATTTAGGGATTGGGGCCTTTGCAACCTGTTTTCCTTTCCCTTTGACTATTGGAGCTTTCTTACGAGTATTTGTTGAAGGTTCTTTGATCTTCACACCTTGTTGTGCAGGTTTGGAGGGAGCTTTTCTGTTCGTTTCCTTCGAACGAGCCTTAGGGGATGAGAAGTCTAATTTTCTTCTCACTCCTTTATTTTGGCCACTAGGAGGAGTAATAGTGGTTGAATGCATCAAAGGCTTAGGTGGATTGCGAGCAGTGGCGGCTTGAAGTTGAGATCGATCCTTGTTTTATTCACCCTTATCCACCGCATTCATCCAAGCCTTGTAAAAGGAAGATAATGTGATACTCGCGGGAGGATTTTGTATTACCCACTTAGGAATACTTGACCAATATTCCATCCAACGAGCAATCCTTTCAGGTTTAAAAGTCACATCTTTAGGGGCATCACAATCTTGCGGGGGAATAAATTTCCTCATCCCGTGTTGTCTCATCACCCTACAAGGAAAAATATAGGTAGTACTAGATAGGCCTAAAAGCCTAATGTAAGGGCAATTGAGACTATTCTCAATCATACTATTTATGTTCCACCAAGGAATCATAAACCGTATGTTAGGAACCCCATGACAGAAAAAGGAAATCCATTCCTCTTCGTTCTTATGCTTATAAAGGATTCGACGTCCAGGGAATGTCTTTACTCCATTAGCCTCAAGGTTTTGAGGCTGATCAACAATTCGCAAACGCTCCATGAGCCAAATCTGAAAAAAAAGGAAAAAAAAAAATAGTTTGTGATTTTTTACACAAGCAGGAGGCGCGCGCAACTAAACCAGTTGCGTGCACCCTCCGCGCGCAACGAAGAAGATTACGCTGGTCATTCCAGCGCAACTTCTTGACTTGCGCTGATAAACGCCAAAAAAAAGAAAAAAAAACGTACGTGTAATAGGAGTGGATTTCCCGTGAAACCGTTTTCGTTAGGATCTCCTCTAAGGTGATTCAAGCACAAAACGTTTTCTGCTAAAACCAAAGGGGCGGGTGAATGACATCCCTCTATTTTCTCTACTATGGACACCATCGAATAATCTTCGTATTCTTTGCCTATCCTAAGTAAACAAGTAACAACAAGAGAATAACATAAAGCACGAATTTTAAAGCGTTGTTTAGTCATGTTGTCGTGAGGGGCGACGAAGTGTTTAATAAATTGAATTAAGTTCACGCCTTCTTCAGTTCCTATGCTGGTCATATCATTGTCGGAAAAGCCAAAAAATCTTTGGAATATAGGTTTGGGATCCGACAAGGTAGGCGAATAAGTCACAGGGAGAGTGTTTGTAGGGAAACCTAGCAAGGCCTTGAACTCACCAGGAAGGGGGAAAATTTCATCCCCTCTAAACAAGAAAAGATGGTGGTTAGAGTCTCAATGGTTGACCGCGGTATGAAGAAAATCAAAGTTAACCACTAATTGCATATAATTCAATAAAGGGTCTAAGTGGTAAATTTTAAAGCTAGTTTGTCCTCGGTTGAAAGAGAAGAGACCCATTGCTTCAAACGTTGTTCAAAGGTCTTCATACATTGTTAAAAAAAAAGAGAGAGAGAATAAGAATTTAGAGAGATTAATTCTTTTTAATTTCTTATGTTACTAAGCAAATGAATGCGAGATGATCAAAAGCCTACAATAAACCACGTTTAAATAGACCCTAGAGGGGAAAATTTTCGGCAAATTCGGCTTAAAGAAAAATTCACTAACAGGTGCCGCCCGTAACTCATGAGTTGCGCGCGACATCCGCGCGCAACTCTTGCAGTAGCACGCGTCTCCCCTGACGCGGCATGTAAGT